AGCAGGTGAGCCCTACAGGAGACCCAAAACCAGCTGGTCAGGGCTACCAAGTCATGTCCCCAAGTCAGTAGGCCATTGACAAGAGGAGACCTTCCCAGGGACCCGGGTGAGTAAACAGTGCTGGACTCTGTCCCGTAGAGAAGGTGGTGGCTCGTGCAAACCTTGGGGCGGTGGTATAGGGAGAGGCAAGGCCATCCCCATTGCGAAAGGTGCCTGCTTCGTCTCATCTACCTGTGACCGATGACACGGACTGCCCAGCCCACCGACTACAGAGGCCTTGCCCACTCTGGGGACTGCTCAGGACTTCTGGTAGGGTCCTTGCTGGACCTGAGTTCTGATGAACTATGTGTCCTCCCTCCACCCCCAGTCCAACAGGGATAGAGTAGCCAGAGCCCTCCGGAGTCCCCACATACCGGCTGCGGTGCTGCTCCTGTGAGGTCCCAGCTTTGCTCCGCCCACAGTGGCCTTCTTGAGAACTCCAAACGCCACCCCACTCAAGTCCCAGCCCCTGACCCTAGCTCTGGCTCTGGCCCTGACGGAAGTAGGCAGGGGATGCCACGTGACTTAACCTCCTGTGGCAGTCCTCAGGCAGCCATCCACCCAGACAGTCAGCCTGGGAACTGGCTCCGGCCTCAGCCACTGCCCTCATTTCCTCTGCTGGCTTCCTGAGCTGGGGGTGGGGAAGGCCACAGCCACTGGTCCCATTGCCACTAGTTCCTCTGTGACAGGCAGGCAAGGCCCAGACTACGGGGACCTGAAATCAGAGCCCCAACAGGCACGATGACCCAGATTATCACACGACAAGAATACGGGGTGACACAGGGGTCTCCCCACCATAGACATAGCCTTCAGCCTACCTGGGAACAGACATCAGAACCACTGTCTTTTGAACAATAAGAGCGGGTCCCCTCATGGTCTGCCTCGGGCTTCCGTCTAGTCGCCCCTAGTCCGTCCCTGTCCCAATAGCCATGAAAGAAAGGCAGGTGGCCACAGTCCTGGGAGGAGGGCCTGGCAGAGCACTGGGCACAGCCCACCCTCAGGAAGTACTCCATGAGTCCAGGACAGGTGCCAGAGACATCAAGGATGTTAACCACCAGGACCCACCACGTATACGCAGATGGGTGGCCGACTGAGGGCTTGCCAGCTCCTCCTTGGTCCCTGGGCCTGAGGGGCACTATACCTAAATTCTTTGGCTGCCTGGGTAAAGATCCCAAACTGGTGGCTTCTGTGGGAATGGTTCTTTCCTGGCCCCGAACAAGTCTGGCAGTGGCAGGCGTTCGGTGAGGACCGGGCAAGGCCTTGCTGGTTCTTCCAGCTTGGGGTCGGAGCCCTCTGCTTGTAGTGCTTTTGTTTGACTCCAGTACCTCTCCCCACACCCCTCATTTCTGTGTCCTCTTAGCAGGATATCTGCCACTGGATTTAGGGCTCACCCCATTCTGAGGTTCGGGGGGGTCATAGTCCCAGTGATACCTCTCAAGTGAGCACACACTTGTAGAACGCTTGAGAAAGGACAGTGAAGCTCAGGCAAAGAACCCTGTGTCCTGCAGATCGGGAGCTCACACCCACAAGACTCCCCCACGGAAGTGCCTGCACACCGTATGTGCACACAAGGTACATGTGTGCAGGTACACTTGGACATGGACACGCTTAGGTCCTGCCAGTCCGACTATGCCCGTCTCTTTCGCCATGTGGGAGGTGCGTGTTGCAGGTATGTTTGTGTCCATGTCTGTGTGTGCCAGGGAATATTGGGGAGAGCAGCAGAAACCCCACATGTCTCCTGCCCCTGCCCCTGCCCCAGGGTTCTGTGACCGCCCTCTGGTGGTTTCGCTGAACTGCTTCCAGAGAAGCAGCCTGTATATAGCCAGCACGCCACCTCTCAGACCGGTCACCCCTAACCTACAGGCTTTAATGGCTCATCAAGAAGAGGTCATACTGAGGTAGGGTTGGCCTTAAATCTAGGCCCATAGCTTCCTGTCACGGGGCCCACAGGCAGGGTGACAAGCCAGAGACAGCACCCTGGACCCTACATTCAGCTGCTATGAAGGCCTGGCTAGTCTGTGCCTTCAACCAGGTCCGGTGACGGATCAGGTTTGTCACTCAGTGAGTCACAACTTTCCATATTCCAAGTCCATCTGTGAGCCAGGGACTAGTGCTCCTGGGGACCCCCTGGCTCGTTTTCAGGGCCGCCTTTGTCGCAAGTCCCAAGTACACCCATCCACATGCCACTCAGATCCAGGTCTTCTGCCACAGTCACTATGAGCCCAGGAATGCCAGTCCCGTACCCTGTCCCATGTGGACACCAAGGAAACAACATCCCAGAAGGGCGCAGCCAGGGTCATCATTCGGAGCCCACCGTGGGGTAAAGACTTGAGCAGGGACCAGGATGTAGGCTGAGAGGCTGGAGACAGCAAGCAGCGGCCACCGTGCAGGGTAAGCGGGCAATGGCAGACAGCGGAGTGGGACAGCCATGCCTTCTCTGAGCTTCTGCAAGCTGCCAGGGTGGCTGCCAGCTCCATACCCCCCGCCTCAGACAGGAAGCCGGCAGAGGCCGCCCTGACCAGCCTTGCCCGATGCCCAGTACTCCACAGCACCACGTGGACCCACCTTACTGATAAGCAAACTAAGGACCAGAGAGGGTCAGACATCAGGGAGTGAGCAAATAGTGTGGGGGGACACTAGGGCTCCCCCAGCCCCAGCGTGGGAGGGCAGTCCCAAAGTATCATGGGAGTGCAGGTTCCTCCAAGGGAAGCACCTCACTGGAGTCCCTACACCACTGCTAAGGGCCCTGGCCACTAGCGACACTAGCGACGGTACCAGGCCCCAGCAAACATCCCTGGCCTATATTAGCTCCCTTAGCTGCTCCAGGCACACTGAGGAGGAGAGTGAGAAACAAGGTCAGTCCCCTGCCTCAGTGCGAGCTGACTGCCATTCACTCGAGGTCATCAGCTCCTACCCCTTCCAGCTGCTCTTGTCCTCCGTGACCCCCTGTGGCCCCTTTTCCTTGACTATCATGCTCTGTCTGCCTGGAGAGCGGTCTCAGAGAGACTTAAGGAATGGCCGAAGAGCACACAGCCAAGAGGCCACTGGGTAGGGTCTGCCAAGAAATCGTTCATGGTCACCCACATCCTGGGTGACAGGGAATGGGGCACAGAGTCAGACTTCACAGCAGGCCCGTCTGGACGCTTGTCCGGCCATGACACCCCACGATTATGTTCAGCCCCAGCAACCTGTCCTGTCCAGGGACAGGGTGGCTGTGTAGCGAGGGGCCCAGCATGCTAACAGCTGCCACTTCAAGCTTGCCTGCCTACTACGATGCTTGCAGACCTGGCCATAGGTGCAAGGGCTCCTTAGGGGACTGTCGGGGAGCACTGGACAACCCATAAACACACTCTTCGACCACACAAACATGAGCCTTCCTTTGAACTTTGGTGGCTCTAACAACATCAGCTAGACCATCTCTCTCTCCCTACTGTGAAGAGGGAGAAAAACCATTCAGCTTCTGCGGGTACAGGGGCCTTCGGGCACCAATTATGCCCATACCTCCTCACCCTCACAAATGGCTCACCAGGTTCCTCCTCCAACCCAGACCCAGACATAGGTATCACCATCCCATCTTCCAAAAGGGGAAGCAGAAGCCCAGAGAAGCAGACACAGGGACTCTGATGGCAGAGAGTGGCTCGTGAGCACAGTCTCTCCCTCCAGCACCCAGGTCTGGCTTTGCTCCCCACTAAGTCCCCCATCGCCACCATCCAAGCCCTCGGGGCAGCAAGGGCACCATGCCCACGGGCACACAGCTCTCACGTCCCGCTAGATCATTACACCAACACACTGTAATTACACAGATCAACTGCGCAAGAGCTGCCTGCAGTCCTGCCGGCGCTCCGAGGTGGGGGAGGGGCGCTTCTGTCCTGGGTACCCCGGAGGAGGAAGGGGTGACAAGCCACCGGGGCGAGTCCGGACAGATGGGAGGATGCAGGGCTTTCTCCCTTCCTCCTGTCAGCAGCCTAGGCCCCACCCCTATCCAAACAGCTCCAGGGCCACCTGTCTGGAGTCTGGAAGGACCAAGTGCTGGGTAAGGCTTGCCATGGGGGACATCCTGGAGCCCTGATGCTGGGGATATCTGTCCCTAAAGGGGGTCTGGGCCTGAAGCTGCTGCTCAAGGCCATCTCCACTCCTGCTGTAGCTTCAGTGGGTCACAATCACTGCTGCTAGCTAGGTTCTGTGCCTTTGGTTGGACAGTAAATGATGACCTTCAAGCCCCCTGAGTCAGCCAGGAAGTCACTTCTGAGCAAGGGACCTGACAGCCCTAACTAAGCCAGTAGGCAGAGCCTATCAGCCCCCCTCCCTAGGAGCAAATGCCTTCAGATGGAGTCCTGCCCAGGGGACCCGGTGCATCACAGCTCACACTGGCCCCACTCCAGGAGGGAGACCCAGGAGAGCCATCACGTGTGAGCTGGGCTTTGTTTGGGCTGTGCAGCCCAAGCCAAAGCCCGGGGGGACATGTGGGTGGGACTAGTTACCCTCCCACTCAGGACAAGCAAACAGAATACTCGTTAGAGACAGCTGCCACAGCCCCCTCTGCCCTCCACAGCTGTCCACCCTGTTCGGGCAGCCGTGGTAAACACATTATCCCTGTGTCCACAAGCCAGGTGGAGCAAGAGGCCCACCCCCAGGTCCTGTGCGGCCAGCTGGTCGGTACCACCTCTCCAGAGGGGGATCTCAGGTGGGCTCATGTTAGGGGTCTTCATTGACCCCCACACACACACCCACCACAAGCTGCCGGGGCGGGGGTGGGGGACTGGCTGGACAGGGATTTGCAGAAACCAGCGCAGGTTTGGGAAGGGGCCTTTTGCAGCAAACCATGGACCAGCAAGCTCCCACAGTGGGCCTGGGCTCCTACCCTGCCTTGCAGAACACCCCTCACCTCCCCAGGGCCCTGAGTCCTGGCAACCTCTCTCCGGGACACCTGGGGCCAACACAGGCCCTCTTGTCCCAGTTACCTGCGCCAGGGAGGCATCCAAAGAGACAGGGGCTGATGCTGCCAGCCAGAGCTGAAGGGGCCGGCTGTGCAGAGGGTCTGGCCCCAAGGCCTGCCCACCTCCGGAGACCTGTAGTGGGTCCTCGCCGGTCCCTGTTCTTCTGCGGGGACTCAGGGCAGAGAAAGGGTTAATTTCCAGGCAAAATGGGAAACCGTGGCTCCAGCAGCATCATGTCGGCAGTGGGAAGACAGGTGGGGGGGCAGCTGCAGCCGCAAGGCCGCCTCCGAGGGCGCCGCGCGGACTCACCCGGGTCGAAGTGGGAGCTGAAGGCGAAGCTGGGGTTGAAGAAGGACGACGACATGGCCAGGGCCAGCAGCGCGATGGGCATTCCCGGGGCCGGCGCTGCGCTCAGGCTCAGAACGCCCGCGGCCTGGGCCAGCGTCCCGGCATCATCGCCCAGCGGCCTCCGCAGGTGCGGAGCGCACGGTCCCCCGCTCCTAGCGCCCCCAGCCACCGCCGCAGCGCGGGCACCAGTGGGGGCGGCGACAGACGAGGCGCCTCCGCCCGCCGCCGCGGCGCCGCGGGGCTCCGGCTGGTGCAGTCCGAAAACACGCGGGAGCGCGCGCGAGGTGGGGGGGACAGAGTGGAAGGGGGGAGGTGGAGGAGGGGGTACGAGGGTTCTGGGGGTACGGAGCGGGGACAAAGCAGGGAAGGGGCATGCAGGTCGTGGACAATGGGGGAAGGAAAGGGGTCTCAGAGGCAGGGGGGCTATGGGATGAGGGGGATGCAGATTGAGGGCACAGAGGCTGGGGACAAGGAGTGGGGAACAGAGGCAGGGGAGGGGCGTGGGTCGTGGGACACTAAGTGATGGGAGGGGGCAGGCAGGATGAAGGCTGAGCGGCACGGAGGCAGGGGTTAGGAGTGCACAGATGATGAGGCTATAGAGAGGGATGAAGGCTGGGAGCACAGGGACTGGGGAGAATGAGAGGGGTCAGAGGCAGAAAGAGGGGCATACAGGTTGTGGGACACTAAAGGATGTAGAGGGGCCCGAGGCTGATGCTGCGGGATCTGTGGAGCCCAGAGTGGAGACACAAGCACAGAAGGGACTCGCAGGTCCCAGCAGACGAAGGGTGTGGGCGGAGGGAAGGGGTTTGTAGGCCTGGGCTACCGGGATGGAGGCGAGGGCACAGAGAGGGGAGGGACACTGAAGTGTTGAGATGCAGGCAGTGGGGGGCACTGAAGCTGTGGGGACCTGAAGGGGTCGGCACGGAAGTGGGTGGTGGGCGGGGGGTTGGAGCAGGGAACTGCGGCAGAGGCGGGAAGCATGAAGGTCGGAGGTCGGAGGTCTCAGGGGCCTGAGATGGAGATCCAGCCCTGGATGAGGGGGAGACTGGAAGCCTGCCAGGCATGGACGCTGTGGGCGTCTCAAGAGGTCACTGAGGTCGTGGGGATTGTCACAGAGGCCAAGAGTCATGGAGGAGGTTATGGACAGGAGTGGAATGGAGGTGCGGAGCCGGGGTCCTGCTGAGTAGCGGAGGGTGCACGGAGATAGACGGGGGCACCCAGGAGCTTGGGGACACCGGGTCACTCGCAGGTTTGGGGGGGTGGCTTGTCGGGAGGCGCTTGCGCTGGTGGAGGCGGGGGAAGCTGTTTTTGTACTAACCGCCTGCGGCTGTGCCACGCTGCGACGAACGGCCGCCCCCACCCCCACAGATCGGCCAGGGCGCTTGGAGCGGGCGGCGGCGCCGGGCACGGACGCTGCTGTGCCCTGCGCCCCTCCTCTTCCCGCCGCAGCGCCATCTTGCAGCGTTGCGACGCAGCTGCGGGCCTTGCAGCAAGTAGGCGGAGGCACGAAGAGGGGCTGTCACCTGCAGCTCTGGGGTCTTGGACAGTCATACGGTCACTCATTCATCCAATCTCGGGCCAGTTACAGAGACCCTTGGGGTCCACAGTTGAAGAGCAAGGGGATTATGCTATCTGGAAGCCTGAGAGAGTGGAGTGTTTGAGCAGAGGGTCCGCAGCGACCCGAGCAGCAGAATCGTTAGGGTCAGCAGAGTCAGAGAGATCAGGGTCCACCCTGCTTTTTCCAACATGACGCTTTTGAAATTTGGGGTAGTCATCTCTGCCCATGTTGTCAGCCAGTGAAGCAACCCAGCTCAGCTGGAGGGCCAGCGGGCTTTGGGGTTGGCCTTGAGTTTATGGCTGAGTTTGTGGTCCTTTTGGAATCCCATGGAAAAGTGGTCGAGGCAGCCCCGGTATTCTTGGAGTCGCCAATGATCATCGGTTCATGAACTAGTTTCATCCCAGGTTGGGGGGACGGGCAAGCAAGCACCTCTAGATAAGAGGACCTTGCTGTGTGGCTCTTCCCTGTTCCTTGGCCAGGGTTGCCGTGGAGTTCCCACACGCTTCAGTGTGTATACTCTGATGTCAGAGGACATTCTGTAGTTCTGCCCCCAATCAAGGGAGGATGCAGTCCCTAGAAGCAGCTGACCTCAAGAGCGTGGCCTGGCAGGGGCCAGGCTTATGGGAGAGGTAGCAGGCACATCTAGGAAGGAAGGCAGAGAGGAGGCCCTGGAGAAGAAGGCTGGGCTGAGAAAGAGGGGGATGAGCAGGTTAGGAGCCTTCAGCGAGAGGGCGAGGCTAGATCTAAAAGACGGTGAGGTAATGAGGCCCCCACCTCAGAGAAAAATTGGGGTGGGGACCCCAAAACCTAGCAGTCATGTCCATGCAGTTACATCACACTGTCCAGTCAGACTTGAAACGCTGACGTGTGCTGTCCCAATGGGGATGAGCCACAAAAACAGGCTACTCGGTGAGGAGGCCAGTCAGAAGGTCAGAGGGCTGTGGTTCTGTTTACAGGAACAAATGTCCAAAGCAGCCTGGTCCACAGAGACCAGCTGCAGGCGGGGATTGCCGTAATCCCCAGAGAGGGGAAGTGCGGGGTGACCACGAGGCTCCTGTGGAGCTGAAGACAAATGTGCTGGACTTGGGTAAAAGTGGCAGCTACAAGCCCAACGAACCCACCGACCAGCACGACCCAACCAAAGGTGGAGGCATCGACAAAGCCCCACCCAACTGTCAACTCTAAAAAGATTCTCCATTATTTATTGTGTGTGTGCACACGGGTATGCCTGTCATGGCGCACACGTACAGGTCAGAGAACGGCTTTTGGGAGTCACTTCTCTCCTTTCTTCTGTGGGTTTCTGGGATCAAACTCGGGTCAGCAGGACCGGAGGCAAGTGCCTTTACCCACTGAGTCATCTTGCCATCCCTGAATTACAGACTTTAGAGCGGTGGTGACGCACACTGTCAATCCCAGCATTCACGAGGCAGAGGGAGGTGGATCCCTGAGTTCAAGAGGGAGTGAGGTCCAGGATTGCTAGGGCTACACAGAGAGACCCAGTCTGGAAAGACAAAACGACAAAGTGTTCGACAAAGTGTTCTTCATGTATTTTTGAAACAGGGTGTTGGGGAGCCCAGACTGGACACAAGCCAATGTTAATCTTATTTTTTTATTATATATATATATATATATGTGTGTGTGTGTGTGTGTCTGTATAAAATATTATATATGTTATATATAATATAGCATATTAATGATTTAATTATAATAATATAATCTTTATATAATTATATAAAAATCTATATATAATATATGATATAATAGACATATATAATATGTGTTATGTATGACATATTATATGTAATAATTTAATTATAGTAATATAATTTTTATATGATATATAATCATATATATATATAAATCTATAGATAGAGAGAGATAGGTTTCTCTGTGTATCCCTGACAGACCTGGAACTCTCTGTAGAACAGGTTGGCCTCTACTCTAGAGATTCAGCTGCTTCTGCCTTCAGAATGCTGGATTAAAGGTGTGTGCCACCACCTCCTCCACCACCATCACCACCACCACCACCACCACCTGGCTTGACCTTGAACTTTTGATCCTTGTGCCCTTACTTCTAGAAGTGTTGGGATGACAGGCAGTGACAGCTCTTTGCCCAGGACAGTGGCAGTGAGTCTGAGGTTTTGACATCTTAGTAAAGTTGGTAGGAACCTAGGGATAGAGTGATTATGTCCCAATGCAGTATTCTAGGAGGCCATTTTTATGTTAAAGGACATAAAAAAACAAGACAAGTGAAATATTCCATTTTTTAGTAACTGCAAGAACAGAGAGACAGCTGAGCCCCCAGAGCCTGAGACTACGGCCACCAACAAGAATCCACTGCACCTTCATCCTGGCCATTCTGAGCAGAAGGCACGTGCTAAAGACAGCATGGGAGGCCTAGTGTTCTCGGTCACCTTTCCAGACCTTCTAGGCCCCATGGTCCCATCCCAGTGGAAAGAAGTCCTTTCTTAGCATAGGATCCAAACCGTCCTGCATCCTGCCTTCCTCCTGCCCTGGGATGCTCCACCAGGGTCCCCTGAGGCCAACTGAGACCACGGTGCTCAGCGGGGAGGCATGGACGGGGAAAAGAAGGCATGGAGAAGGAGCATGGGGAAGAGGGTGTCCCAAAAGTGTCCTGGGGCTGCCAGAGAGAAAGGACACAATGGTGGCTTGGGGCCACAGGACTCATCTTTCCAAGTCTCAAATTGAGGTGTCAGGAGGACCACACTCTTTCCAAGGGCTTCTGGCCAGGGTCCTTGTTCTCCTAGAATTCAGCTGTTCCTTCTTTGGCTGGAGGTCTCAGTGTGGCACCAACCTCTGCCTCTGAGGTTATTGGATTTAGAGAGTACTTTAGACTGACCTCTCCCCACCCCACTCTGTGTGTGTATGTATATGTAAGTGTGTATAGTACAGAAGTACTTAGGATCGAAACCCAGGGCCTTTTGCTTTCTATGCAGATGCTTGGCCACTCAGCTGCTCTCTGGGCACGCTGAGCATTTAAACCCCAACACATTAGCATTTCTGTGTGGTTGCTAGGCTCCCCGAGGGAGCAGACAAACCTGTATGCTGGATAAAGTGGACACAGTGGACATCCCATGCCTGGAAGGTCCACACCCCACCATGGGCACCTCCAGGCACATCGCGGACTCAACGAGTGAACCTCCTGAGAGCACAGAGAGAAACTGAGGCACTGCAACATGTACAATGCAAGTTGACCCCAGCCCACTGCTGATGCTGACACCACGGGGTCCCAGCCCATCGCTGATGCCGACACCACGGGGTCCCAGCCCACTGCTGATGCTGACACCACGGGGTCCCAGCCCACTGCTGATGCTGATACCATGGGGTCCCAGCCCACTACTGATGCCGACACCATGAGGCATAGCCTCTAGGAGGACAAGAAGGATGCACGGTGACCATTGCACTCATATTGTCCCTGTCTTTGGGGAGGGGACTGTCTTTGTCCCAACATTCTCAGAGATGGCCCTCAGTCCTGGAAAAAGCCTCACCTATCACAGAAGCTGGTGTCCAAGAAGCTGGTGGCATGGCCAAAGAGACACCAGATGGCAGGTACAGCCTGCCAAAGGTGCGAAGACTCCTTAGCCTCTCCAGGAAGGTAAAGCCCTTGCTCAGAGCTCAGAGCTAGGCAGGAGCCAGAGGACAGCTCCCTAGGAAAGAGCTTGTTCCCCTTCCAGTAGGGCAGGCTGCTGGGGA